TTGGAAGCCAGCATTTTTGTGCCTGTCCCTTTCATGTGTCATCCCTGGGCTGACTTCCCATTGACTCTCTGTCCAACCACTGAGCTTGAAGCTTCTTTTCTAGACCACCCTAGTGGCTTTTAGCTGTGGGTGTCCTTCCCCTCTGGTTTGTTTCCTCTTACTCCATCTGCTGCCAAGCACCCCTCCAGCAGCCAAGGCCACCCCTGTTTCTGCATGTACTCCTTACCTAGGGCAGCGTTAGAGAATAATCTGATGCATTCCATTTTTCTGGATCTTCTTAGTGCTCTGAGGGCAGAGCTCTGTGGAAAGAGGCTTGAGGGTAGAGAAACCTATTTAGATAGCTCTTTTGAAGGTCTCATTCAAGCCCCAAAACAAGTCCAGAGTAAGTGTTTTAATCTGCCACTCACCTTGTAAACACTTGTACTGTCTTACTTTAGTACCTTATCCTCCTTCGGTAAAATTATTTAACAAAATGTACTTTTGTGGGTCTTAAGTTGAGCTTCCTGTAGATATTGGGTTATATATATCTATATATGTATGCATATACTGACTAGTGATTATAAAATTACATTCCAGTTCATTGAGTTCACAACTTCCTAACGGTTTTTTTGTTTCCTAATTTTTAAAGGAAAATTATAAATGACATCAAATATTTGCTAGCCCAACATTTGTTTTGAATGTAGCGTATATAAAAATCCTCCTTGGTTTTACATGAAATTGTTCAGAAAGTCATTCTAAATTAATACGTCTTTTTCCCTCCTCCACAAAATGGGGGGCACAGAGTTCTTCTCCCCCATTTTGTGGAGCCATTGGACATTTGCTTCCCTGCCTGGACGAAGTAGCTCTGCTCTGACCAAGATCCACTCTTGGGAGATTCCCTGGTAGGTAGGGAGAAGTGGGACCAGGGAGGACGCTCTAAGGAAGGTGCCTTTAAGGCATGCTTTCTCTTGGTGCTTCAGGTGTCCTAGGCTTTGACTTCTCAACATTTAGAAAAATTGACCCTCAAAGTAAAATGTAGGTGTTTTAGGGATGGTGGTAGAGCATGTGTATGTTTTTCTTCTTTGACGCATGTGCTCTTGTTGGAATGGTTTCTTTTTTGGCTTGCTGGGGAAAACTGATTGTAGAGGCTGCATGCCACTTACAGGCGTAAGGGTAAAAAGCACCATGATTAGTGTTCTTATTCTCCCTTAGAGCCTGCTATTTTTCAACCTGTCATTACACTCAAAGGATATATGAAGTAGACATATCAGCTAATTATAGGAAATAAAATTCATTTTGACTTCCTTTGACACAAGTAGAATTTTAACCAGCTATACATCAAAATTGTATTTCCATATGTTTCAAGTTAATTTCTGTGACTACTTCAGCTTAGTTTTCTGACCCATCTTAAGCCACGAGATGTACGTTCCTTGATCAAAAAGTCCAGTTCTGGTATTTGAGGATTCCAGAAAAGCCCTGCACTAAGTTGGCCTGATTAAACAAAGATGACTGCTCCCCCCAAAATACAGTATGCACAAATAGCTAAGTGCACAGCCATTGGAGAATTCTGTTTTAAAACCTGTGTGCAGCATTTTGCCAGGCCATTTGTGCCTTGGGAACGTGTCTCTTGGCAGGGCAGTACTTGTGTTTTCCTTCTTTGTTGGCTACTTTGTTTTCATTTAATATATTTTCTTTTTTTTCTCTCTCTCCTGGTGGAAACTTTGATTTCACAGCAAACCTGCTTAAGTTCTTGTTGCCTGTCTCCTGTGGAAAGGTTGATTTGTAGCTGCTATCTTTCTCTTCCTAATAGACCTCGTGGGTGGTAAAGATCTCAGGGAGTGAATCATTAAATATGAATGAAGAGAACCGAAGTAGTTAGTCTAAGGTGGGGGTTGAGAGGGACTGGGTGGGGAAGGTTTAACAAAAGGCATTGATGTTTTAAATGCACAGAAATGCCATCCATCAATAATAAATGGTGTGGCATAGAACAGATGTGCCAAATTGAGTTATGACAGCATATGGATTGGTTCACGGGGTGGGGGGGGGAAAGGATATTATAAAGCATAGCTTATGTTTTTAAATTATCTGTTTGCAAGCTTTTGAGTACAGTTTTGAGTGTTCTGTTTTTATGCTCTGATTGCTGCTAGTGGGAACTATAAAAAGTTTGGAACTTCCAAAAATTCCAGTTAAATTTTGAGTGTTTACAAAGTAAGAATTAAGAAGGAATACATTTTGCTTTTCTAAAGAGGAAGATGTCTGAAAATGAATTTCTTGCCCTTCGTGGCTGAGTGTCTGCCTTTTTAAGAGCTCTTGTTGTAATTGTTATAAGGAAGGAATGAAATTGCATTACAAAACTTAAGTCATGTGAAACGCTTACCCCATGTTTTCTACATTTACATTGATTATATCTCTAGGTACCTGTTCAGTACATACTTAAACTACAGGGGACCACTCAGGAAACCCGCTCATGCTTTGCGATCGATTCAGAAACCTCAGCATTTTGGTTCAAGGGATATTTCTGTGCATATGCTCTCAGTGAGAATTACCTCACCCAGCAGGGAATCAGCAAGAGAAAGATCAGCTTAATTGTCTCAGAAAAAGTCACTCCTACCCGATGTGAAAGGCAGAAAACTGTTAGGTTAACTGGAATACTCTCTACATATATATATACTAGAGGAGAAGTCAAGCTTTATTTCGATCTTCTGGATAAGCTATTGTTAATGTCATAGGATAGCAGAGGACAATAATATGTGAGGTAGTTGAAGTGACTCCTAAGTTCCTGAGTTGGAATTGGTGTGCTTGATGAAAAAAAACAGGCTTAGTAAAACATATGGAGCTGTTCACTCATCTGATTATGAACCCTTGCTGGCTTTTTTGAAAACTTGTTTAGAACTGGCTATCTCTGCTTTGTTGTCCCAACAAACATAATTCCTCTTTGTTTTTCTTAAGGTGAACCAAAAAAGTACTTAGTTCTGGCAAATAATAGCAAGTTGGCTAAATTTGAGATCTGTTAGGCTAGAAAGACAGATCACTTAACTGTTGTTGAAGAGTTTGCTTAACCTTTGAGTGAATGTTATGGGCAAAAATGAGGATTGTGGTTATATAAAAAGTCTATTTTAAGTCTAATTTTAGCCATCTGTATTGTTAACGTTCAACTTTCTCAGGTGCAAAATTTTCTTGAATTAATCTTTTCACCTCCAACAGATCCCAGCTTGCCTTAAAAAAAAATCACTTGTCAAACTGACTTTAGAGCCACCAAATAAATCTATTTTATAGTCCCATTTAGATATCTAGCTCAAAACCCCATTCACTCTGAAAGGTCCTATGGTTGGATGCACAACAAATTTCCTGAAATCATCTCTGGTACACCTCCTTTGGGTTGTTAAGAAGGTGTTGAAATGTGAGAAGGCTGGTAGTGAAATCAAGTTGTGGCTCAGGGTCATTACGAAGGGAGAAAACCCAGCATTTTCATAGTACATTGTCTGGCTTTTAGTTGCAGCTGCAAACAACGGATATGAATTTAACCAGTTGCTGCAGTGCAGCTGGTTCAGATCTGGCTTTATAACTGGCTGAAGTAAAATGAAATGGCTGGAAAATTCCAGTCAAGTAACACCAGTGGGAACATGTGGAATTAAATAGTGTGAGCAAATGCTGGCCAAGTAGGGGAAAAACTTCAGACATAAACGGGGCGGTTGTGAGGACTTCGTGGGGGCCATTTTCTGGCCTTTTTAACAAGGGTCTATTGTTTTGATTAGTTCCCCTTGCAGGAGGTAGAAGGTTTCCTCCATCCAGAGTAATTCATGGAGTGTTTGGCTTGTCTACCTTCCTCCTTGACTGAAGTCACCTGATACTTTTTGTTTTTTCAAGAAAGAAGAAAGAAATCTGTTGCCTCAGTTAGTAGCAGTGACACAAATCTCAAAATACAGTCTTTTTTTGGTCTTTGGAAGTTTCCCCATCTGTGTGTGAGACACACACACACACACACACACACACACACACACACACACACACACACACACACACACACACACACACCGCCATTATTATCTTGCCTTCACCACGTGTACCAAGCATTAGGTATGTTGGAGGCAAAGGTGTGCAAGAATTCAGGTTTTTAAAATAACTGTTCTAATTAAAGGAATCTGTGGAAAAGAAAATGGACTGACCTAAAGGGTATTTGTTGCATTATCAGTAGATTTTTTTTTTCTTTTCATGAATTGTATGCTTAATTTGGAGCATTGAGAGTTGGCTAGGAAAAGATTTCTGAGAGTTAAAGGACAACCATGGTGCTGTTTGGGGAAAACATTTGCTGTAACTAGGTTTAGGGTATTTAGTCTGTGCCGGTGCTTGGGAGCTGTATTTGCCAAGTGATTTCCCTGTCACAGGGATTAGCCAGTGATGTGAAACATTTGATTAAGGGACTCAGAGAAATCTTTCCCGAGGCACATGATTGGTGGCCAATGCTGGGGTGCCCCCTCCTCAACTCTGCTTCATCTCTCAGTGTTTATATCAAGTAAGTTTGTAGTGGTGAGTCACAGGATATGATTTTATAGTCTAGTGAAGAATCTTTTTAGAAAGCAAAATTCTGGTAGGTATATTATTAATTAAACCCTTTAACGTTTCTACACAATAACTAAGAAAGACACCCTTTTTCCCTCAGAGCCATACATACCATGGCTCATTCATTTTGGAAGGAGACAAGGTAGAAAGTTAATGATAAAAATTGCCTATATCCCAGCATCACTACTGTTCTCTGTCTGTCTTAAAATAAAGAACATTGCTTTTCTTGATGCACATCCACCAGATTTATGTTAAAGTTTAATTCTAAACATATGAGAGTCTGTTAAATTTTTCCTGAAAGTTATACCATCCATTTATGAAGCAAGAGCAGTTGGGTTGAGTGTGGAGATTCCATCTTAAGCGATTCAACTCCAAAATGAAGGGGAGCACTTGCTGCAGAGAGTGGCACTTTTCTGCTTCTCTTCCGTTCTGTTGAACTTTGTGTGTGTTCCTTCCCACAGATCACTATCATCTTCAAAGCCCACCATGAGTGTACAGATCAGAAAGTCTACCAAGCTGTGACAGATGACTTGCCAGCTGCCTTTGTAGATGGCACCACCAGTGGTGGGGACGGTGATGCCAAGAGCCTGCGTATTGTGGAGAGGGAGAGTGGCCGCTATGTGGAGATGCACGCCCGCTACATAGGGACTACTGTGTTTGTGCGGCAGCTGGGTCGCTACCTGACCCTCGCCATCCGTATGCCCGAGGATCTGGCCATGTCCTACGAGGAAAGCCAGGACCTACAGCTGTGTGTGAACGGCTGCCCCCTGAGCGAACGCATCGATGATGGGCAGGGCCAGGTGTCTGCCATCCTGGGGCACAGCCTGCCTCGCACCTCCTTGGTGCCGGCCTGGCCCGGCTACACACTGGAGACTGCCAGCACTCAGTGCCATGAGAAGATGCCGGTGAAGGACATCTATTTCCAGTCCTGTGTCTTTGACCTGCTCACCACTGGTGATGCCAACTTTACCGCCGCAGCCCACAGTGCCTTGGAGGATGTGGAGGCGCTGCACCCGAGGAAGGAACGCTGGCACATTTTCCCCAGCAGTGGCAATGGGACTCCCTGTGAAGGCAGCAATTTGTCTGTCAGTCTGGGACTCACGTGCTTGATCCTTATTGTGTTTTTGTAGGGGTTGTCTTTTGTTTTGTTTTGGTTTTGTCTATAACAAAATTTTAAAATATATATTGTCATAATATATTGAGTAAAAGAGTATATATGTATATACCATGTATATGACAGGATGTTTGTCCTGGGACACCCACCAGATTGTACATATTGTGTTTGACTGTTCTCACATATGTTGGATGTAGTGTTCTTTGATTGTATCAATTTTGTTTTGCAGTTTTGTGAAATGTTTTATAATGTCCCTGCCTGGGGACCTGTTAGAAAGCACTTTATTTTTTATATATTAAATATTTATGTGTGTACCTGATGAATATGTATAGTACATATACACAGACACCATATGCAGTGTGCCCTTTGAAGGTGTTTGTAACTGTTCTTGGCTGTTCCCTTCTGCCCTTTCCCATTGCTACTGATTTGCCACAGTGTGCAGTTCTCACCCACCACCTTCCAGTAGAGCTGCCTCCTTCCTTTGAACTGTGTCCTCACCGTTCTACCCTCATTTGATTTGAAAGGAGCGTTAACCTCCCCCTTGCAGGTGCTTTTGACTCTGTTAAACTCTGATCTTAAGAAGCCCTCTTATTCTCTAACACCAGTTACTTTTTCATAAGCGGTGTATGATACAGTTCTTACTCTCCATTCGAAATGGTATATATTTGATCACATGTGGTATATTAGGTTGAACCAGAGGAAACTGCTGTTTCTGTAGGTCAAAAGAGTCTAGTGGCGGCAGTTTCATAGACACATAGCAGGCCTCTTGCTAGACCCCAGGAGCGCTCAGACATTTTCTCATCCCATGCCCCCTTTTTAAATTGTAATTTTTTTCTCTTTTAATTCGATTCTGCATGAAGCAAAACAAGGAACCATAAATTTTCTGATTGTCATGCGTTGCTCTTTTTTTCTCTTTATAGACTGGTGTAAGCCCATATTCTTAACCTTCTCTTGACTGTTGGGCCCAAAACCACCCGGCACTCCCTGCCTCCATCCAGTTAGGAAGCCTTCCTTGATCACACCTTGTGAATCCAGAGACTGGGTGGGTTAGATTCTCTGGGAGGCCCAGATCCCATCACAAAGTTTTCCATTCTTCCTTGTCCTCCACACCATGGCCTTCATCACAGTCTTTGACATGCTTATATGCAGAATGGAACTAAGTAGGGCAGTAATGACAGTAAGTCTTCTGTGGCCTGACTCCACGTGCAGCCAACTCTGGGTGCTGCTTAATCCAGACACTTGCAAACCAAGCTTTGTGCTCCCCAGGGAGTCTCATTTGTTGGTCAGGCACTCTCTTAACACCTGTAGCTGAATATTATTTAGACCATTGCTCGTGTGACTTGGTGAAATCCTTGTGAAGTAAAAGGATCTCTCTTCTTGCCTCTTCCATCCCATCGTTGGCACCCCCTTGCCAAAGTTAACAATGAAAGGCAGGAACAGTCACAGTTAACTCCAGGATAGGTATGTTTATATTGTTACATCTAAATACCAATGTTCCAAGAAGTGATAAAGTTATACTTTAATAATCCAAGTTTACATAAACACCAAAAATAGGAACTTTGAATAGTAATATAGACCAAAGTTATGCTTAGTTTTAGTTGACTGGATAATTTCTTCTGCCATGTCCTGTTGATTAATGACACTGCCAGAGGTCCAGACTGGCAGGAAAAGAGGATGTTATTTTGTGAAATTCTCTTTCTTAGTGAACTGATGTGCCATCCAGTCACAGGGTGGAGTTGTGAATTCAACTAGAGGTGGCAAACCTCTACCTTCCGGTGTATGAGAGAATAATCTTTAGCAGTCTGGGGAAATAATGAAGGTGCTCTGCTAAAGATTCAACTCCAGAGAGTGGAGAACTAAACGTGTCGTCCTTTTCTAGAAGCTAGACTAGGGACTTCCCTGCCATCAGCTCTGAACTGTGACTGCGTTTGTTCACCTATGGAGTCATTTACCAAATTCAAAAACTATTGTTAATTTTATAATTGAGTAGAACAGGAGAGGAAATGTATTGAGGATACTTTTAACCACTATTTTTGTGCAAGTAGTATAAAAGTGAAGTAAAAACAATAGTAGAAATGTCTATAGTAACTGGGTTTTGAGTGTATATGATTACCGTTGTTCTTTTCAGAAAAAATAACCACCTCTATTAGTAGTTGGGAAAAGAAAATTGGGTTGTTTTGCCAGATCATTTGGCTGAAACGGATGCTCAAAAACATCCTGCATTACTAGGATTAGTTTCAGTGTATTAAGCTTTTCTCCCTTTATAATCAGTGTCACTGTAAAACATTTACAGTCCCCACAGATAAGTTTCAGAAATACATGTATTTCCCTTGTTCTAAGGGCCAGGTTTATTTTCTCCTTTTCTAGAAGTTCTAGAGAAAGTCTGCTTGCACATATTGGTTCTTGAAATTCTAGTTTTAGGTCATTCCAACACATGGATAGACTGTAGCTGTTTAGAGGGCTCCTGGGGGAGCTTGAAACTTGGGGAACACTGGTTTTCACAGATGCTCCACATGGCTGTCTTTAAAAGACTCAAAACTTTTTTTGTCCTCTTTGTTATGCTTGGCAACCCCCGCAGTGTGTCGAGTCTTTGCAAAGAAACCTTTAGATGTGGTTCATAGGTATATGAATATGTATCTGTGTAAAACAGTGAGTGTGCAGTGTGTAAATACTTTAAATTATGCTAGAAAAATAAAGTTACATACCATGCTGTGGAATGTTTGTTCTGTAATTATAGGGACACCTGCTGGAAGAACTGCGGAACAGCTGCAGGAAAGGAGGGGGCGTATACAAAAATCTCTAAAAGTTACTAGCAGTGAGTTGTACCACCTGCCCACAGACCCGCTTATATTCAAAGCTATACCACTCCTGTAGTTTTTAATTTTTAAGTAGTTATAAATAAACTAGCATTGGGAAGACTGGACCACTAGTATTGTCCCAAAGTTCTGTCTCTGGTGACTTAAAGACATGCAACCTGCACCCTTGTTCTGTTTGAGACTGCAACAGCTTATTCATGGTGGGTCCAATCTTGGACCAGGATTTTTTTGTAAATTCTTACTTCTTGGGTGTTTTAAGAGACATAATGAAATCACAAGTTAGTCTTTAAAAAACGCCAAAGGATGAAAAGTTTGGAAAAGGAACGCAATCTAAATGCATAGGAAAGCACTTTACTGTTACAAGCTAGAATCCTAAATGAATAAAATAATTTTGATTGGGAGGAAAACATACAGATAATTTTTTTTTTTTTTTTTTTTTTGAGTTGGGGTTTCAGTCTGCTGCCCAGGCTGTAGTGCAGTGACATGATCACGGTGATCACAGCTCACAACAGCCTTGACCTCTTGGGCTCAGGTGATCCTTCTACTTCAGTATCCCAAGTAGCTGGGACTACAAGAGCGCACCACCACATCTAGCTAATTTTTTTACTTTTCGTCGAGATGAGATCTTGCTATGTTGCCCAGGTTGGTCTCGAACTCCTGGGTTCAAGCAATTCTCCCATTTAGGCCTCCCAAAGTGTTGGGATTACAGGTGTGAACCACTGCACCCAGCCTACATAATCATTTCTTAAGCAGAAAACTTAACCTTGCACTAAGTGTTTATATGTAACAGCTCAGAGCAAAACAAGTAAAGAAAAATTGTCTGTGCAGAACCACACAAAATAGAATGACAATGATCTGGTCAATAAGTTCCTACAGCATATGTCTGTACTGAATGAAATCAATCTATATCACATTGAAATCTATGCATAAACATAAAAAATGAGTCTTCGCTATTCCCCATGCCCAGATCTCCAGCTTTCAGGGACTGAAACTTAAACTTTTAAAACCTAAAAGTCTTTGTCTCTCGCCTCCCTAAAGCGGAGACTTTCACTTTCTCAAATGGCAAATGGTGATATAAACACACTCTAAGAATCCTATGAATTATCTGATTTATTTATGTTTTTATTGTGTAGCATTGGCAGCATCCTCTTGTCTGGAATCAGCTGAGATAACACAGTCTTGGATCACTGCTGTCCTTTCTGAACTAAGATAGCTCGTTACAGATTTTCCTGCCAGTTTTATTTTTTTCAAGACCTAAGTCAGCATCTTTATTTTATTTTATTTATTGTTTTAGAGACAAGGTGTTGCTCTGTTACCAAGACTGGAGGACAGTGGCATGATCATAGTTCACTGCAGCCTTGAACTTCTGGGCTCAAGTGATCCTCTGGCCTCAGCCTCCCAAAAGAAAGGCAGGGATTATAGGCATGAGCCTCCACACCCAGCCCCCCTGCTCTATTTGGATGTGAGCCAAGAACATCTCCCCTCTTCCACAGAGAGTGTAATCAAGATATTCAAGAGGGAAAAATTCAAAGTTCTTTATTATTTTTCACCCCCCCAACTCACCATATTGTTTCTTTTTGTTTCCATCCCTTTTCTCTATGTCTTCCAGATGGACAAGTCACATTCATACCATTGTTAGTTAGATGGTATTTTCCTGGAATTTACTGCTCTTTGTTCCTCCAAGTACCTCTAAGAAGCATGATGTTTGACACTATCAACTAAATAATAGTGTGCTTTGTCCCCAAATTGTGATGTCGTGGCTCCCTGCCAGTGAAGTATGTGCTTGGCATAGTGATGTCTTTGTCTCTTACCTCCTTTAAGTACAGGGCCCAAGAGGATACACTAACATCTTACAGAGCTGGAATGTACACCCTCAGCCTCCTTAGAACGATGTTAAACCAATTGAGCAAACAGGTCCTGCCAACTGAAACATAATAAAATATGTTCATCAAACTTCAGCAGGAAGATAGTAACAGGGTAATGTTTTCTAATTGAGAGTTCTTTGTGGATAATATTTCTATGACCCATTTCTTTTCATTTCAATAATGAAAACTCCAGCTCCAGAAGAAAATTTAAAAAGGAAGCATTCTGCTACCAGGTTGAATATACAATACCAAATCACAGATGAATTAACCAAGTAGGGATTGCACCTGCCATAAATGACATTTTCAGAAAATAAGATTATCTCAATCAATAATGTAACACTGCTAAGGGAAATGGTGCTATTTGACAACGAACATAAAGGGCTTCCAAAGTCTTCTAACAGGAAGCAATAAGGTAGGATTTGCTAAAGGGGGAGAACGAGGGGGACAATAAATTTATTTTCTAGTGAGATCTTCTTTTGAGCTGCTAAATAGCAAAGCCATTAGAGTACTGTTGGTCATCGGTGCAATAAGGACTGTGGGTAGAGATATCGATTGGCTCACTCTAAGTGCAAGAGGAAGTTTCTGGGCCTGAGTCACTTCATCAGTGTTCATCTTCCTTCTTGAGAAGAAAAAGAAAAGGCTAGTGAAACAACTTGGGACAGCCTAAAATGTAAGATATTTAGCTGCCTGTCAAATTGTAAATTTGGGTGGCATTTGGATGCAGGGAACGAGGTGAAAGCGTGTCTGGGAGGGAAGGTGATAACAGGGCCAGAAGAGCCTGCAAAGCAAAATGACAAATAAGGAAGGCATTCTGGTCCTATTTTGAGCCTCAGAACTATTGTGAATGGTGTTCATGTGTACATAAATATTTATTTTACATATTCTACCTTGAGGCAGCATAACATAGTGGCCAAGATTATGGGCTGGAATAGCATAGTTCTGAGTTCAAATCCACCTCTTTTACTAGTTTTGCAGCCTGAGACATGCCAAGACATACTTAAACTTCAATTTCCTCATCTTTACAATGAGAATTTTAATAGAACTTCACAACTCAAATATTCATTGTGAGGTTTAAATTTGTTTTTAGCATAGGACTTGATACAGGCTAGCGCTCAACATACATTACTCAAAAATGAATAAAGTGGGCCAGGCACCGTGGCTCATACCTGTAATCCCTCCTGTGTTTTGGGAGGTTGAGATGGAGGATCTCTTGAGGCCTAGAGTTTAGACCAGGCTAGGCAACATAGTAAGATTTCATCTCTACAAAAACCCCAAAAATTAGTCCAGTGTGGTGGTGTGCACCTATCATCCCAGGAGGCTGAGGCAGGAGGATTGCCTGAACCCAGGAGGTCAAGACAGAAGTGATCTGTGATCATGTCATTGCATTCCAGGCTGGACAACAGAGCAGAAACCCTATCTCTATTCTCCCCCTTCCCCCAAAAAAATGCCAGGGATGGTGGGTCAAGCCTGTAATCCCAGCACTTTAGGAGGCTAGGCGAGAGGATTGCCTGAGCTCAGGGGTTCAAGACCAGCCTGGGCAACTTGGTGAGACTTCATCTCTACAGTAAATCAAAAAATAAGCCAGGCATGGTAGCATGCACCTATAGTTCCAGCTACTAGGAAGGCTGAGGCAGAAGGATCACCTTAGCCCAGCAAGTCAAGGTTGCGGCAGCCACAAGTGTGTCACTGCACTTCAGCCTAGGCGACAGAGTGAGACTTCGACTCAAAAAAAAAGGTGGGTGGGGGATGAAGTGGATAGCTGTACATTTACCTTTGGGAACCAGTAAACCCCTGAGCTATTCCTGGAACTGAATTCGCATTTATGCATCTGTGAACATTCAAGAATGTACAGCTGAGTCACAGCTCCACAGAGAGTTTGGATGCCCCCACGAGGGAGATGGCTCTGTACATGGCTCCTAGGTGAGTGCATGACACCAAAGCCAGAAGCTGTCCCTATCAGATGCCTCCCACTGGCCTCGTAACTGCAGCTGTCCCAGAAATGTCATCATATGCTCTTTAAGGTTCCCCACTAAAAGAAAAACCCTGACTTGTAAGTAACCATTTGCCCTGAACAGACTTCAGGAATTAGAGGTAGCTAGGGAACAGAAAGAACTCTGAGGAAAAGCTGCTACTTGAGAAATGGCTGCTAATGATGGCTGGCCATGTGTTATATACCTCGGTGAATCAGATTCCCAGAGGAAAGAGTATATAACTTTGGAAAAGGACATGCTAAAATGTTTTCATAGATAGGGATGCATATAAAAGGTACGGGAGCAGGGTTTCCACTGCTCATATTATCACCATCACTCTCATCCATAGATCCCTTCTCATTGCTCAGTTGGCCAACGATAGCATTCTTATCTTCTCAGAATTGCTTAAAATAGAAAATGGATGAAGGAAAAAGAAGAGACCACCTGCCATGGAGGCTGACAGATATAGATAGGCCTAACTGAGCAAAGATCTTACCCTCTCTGTTTCATAATTTTTTCAAAAACTAACCAGAGATGGTGCACATGCCTTTAGTCCCAGCTACTTGGGAGGCTGAGGCGGGAGGATTCCTTAAGCCCAGAGAATGGAAGCTGCAGTGAGCCAAGATTGAGCCAGTGAACTCCAGTCTGGGTGACAAAGAGACACTCTGTCTCAAAAAAAAAAAAAAAAAAAAAAGATTGTTTTCAAATGTGAGAGGTGAGAGGAATCATCATGAGAGGTTGTCCACAGACACTCTAAAAAAGGGTCACATTGGGAAAAAAGTGAATGAAAAGATGTTGAAAAAGATCATAAACATAACAAATGAGAAAGAGAAATTGGTCCAAGTAACAGAGAAGGGTAAAGGAGGGATGACTGACAAAAAATTGTGTACAATTAATGAAAACATTGACTAGTGAGATAAAAACTTAGTCAATGCTTGAGGTGTTTACGGAGAAGTGACATGGAGCTTTAAACATAAACAGGCTATCTTTCAGGCACTGGAGGGGATAATAACTGGCCAAGACTCCTTGGTTTTGCTACCAAGATCCAATCTGAACTATCCCCAGC